GTTTTTGCATGGAAAAAATAAATGAAATGAATGTAAAAATTTAAGCTCAAAAGTATCTCATTTGAATGCTCTTAAATGTTAGAATGAATGGCAAGTGGGTTGGTATTTATAGAAGTGAAAAACGCCTAACTTTCTGTAAAATCGAAAGAATGGTCCGGTTGATCGCCAATTCCAGCCGGTTGACCGTCGTCGGTTGTCCGCCTGGTCAACAGGTTTTTTTTTTTTTTAATATCTAAGTTCAAGTACACTTTGAAAGATCAATCTTACTTTTGATCAAAAATATTTTATGCAAGTGGTATGAAAATAACTCTTTGTATACAAAATGATTTTTGAGCTATTGTCATTCATTACTAAAGATCAAAGTGTTATACCTTTACATATGATCTCGAAAGCCTAGTCATTGATCTTGTTTCGAAGTTTCTTTCTTGTCTAGCTCTTGATCTTTCTTGACATTTGGCTTAATGCTTAACTTCGATCTTGACCTTCTTTATGAGCTCGATTTGATAGTCTTGATTTTGATCTTTTAAGATCTCGTCACGAATGAATTGACTTAAATGCTTAACTTTCACTTTGATTTTCATTTCAAATCCGATTTATGATGTGTTGATTTTGGTAATACTTGATTGATTTTAACATTGAACTATCATCACTTAAAATCAATCGTTAGAAATAATATAAATCTTGTTTGTTATATTCAAAACATTAAGGATAAAATCAATCATAGGTCAACAATTTCCCCCCTTTTGATTATGACAAACAAGATGATTTGCAATGTACAAATTAAACAAAATGATGAGGAATAAGGTTGCATACATATATTCCCCCTTTCAACATTTCCCATATAATGCATAACCATCTAATCCATCTTTCCCCTTTTGGCATAAGCAAAAAGAAATACGAGAAGGAAGTCAACCATAGCATAAATATCTAGTGATGTCATATTGATAAAGGAATATATATTATAAATTTATCATGCAATTCATATTACCCTTATATTTTACAAATCAATAATCATATATTCAAAATATATTATATCAAAGCATGTACAATCATCTCTCTTCATTTTCCCTTTTTCACATAAGAAAAAAAAATATAGCATTTAAGATCAAAAGATAATTATAGGAAACAATAAAAGATTCCCCCTTTTTAATAATTTTCAAAATTTATCTTACTCAATTTCTCCTCCTAGCATAAGCAAAATGATAGCACATATGAGAGGAATATTATTGTATATAAGATCAAATCTTTAAATCAACCATATGAGAATGATATATTCCCCCTCAATTAAGCACAAGATGCTAAATGTATACAAATTTAAGAAAAGAGTAGCATCACTTTATAGTAAATATTAATCAAAGTATATGTGATGCAAATGACAAAAGCAAAATCATTTGAATAAAATTTATATAAATTCCAAACAATTATGCACGTAGAATTATACGAGAGCATTTAGTATGAATTCAATTTAGTCACATACTTCAAATTCATTGATAATTCCCAAACCTCTTAGAATATATGTAAATCTATCAAGTATTCGAGGTTAAATGAGAATATCGGTCAATTGATTTTCCTTAATCACAAATTCTAATACAATATCTCACTTTTGGATGCTTCTAGAATATCATAGATGTAATGTCTTAATGTCATTAAGATATCTAAAATTCGTATTAAGGCACTAAAGTGTGATTCTTGAGAATTAGGTTGAGATCAAGCACATAATCACACACCAAACATAATATCGAGTCTACTTGCGATTAAGTAAAGAAAAGATACGATCATACCTCAATATTTTGTTATGTTTATCGAAGTACCTTGATCGTCTTTGTCAATTTTGATTGATGAGCTCATAGGAGTGTTCAATGGCTTCAAGTCATCCATTTCAAACCTCTCCATTGTTTTGATAGGGATGGATTATTTTGAACTTCGATAGGTTCTTGAAGGTTTTCTTCCTCTTTGTGTTCATTTCTTGGATCTTCCTTATTATGATCTTGAATTTTATTTGGTCAAAAGAAATCTCGAAACCTATATCATTATCAATACATTTCTCTTGATCAAGAGAATTAGTTTCATCAAAAGTAACATGTGTAGATTCTTCAACGACTAGAGTTAACTTGTTAAAGACTCTATAAGTTTTGTTAGTCATTGAGTAATACAGAAAGATTCCAATATCGAATTTCAAATCAAATTTTCAAAGAAAGCATTTACAACCAACAACTTTGAAATAGTCGATATTTGGAATTCTATTTTCCCAAAGTTCATAGGGGGTTTTGTGTTTTCTTTCGACTAATTGAAACTCTATAAACAATATAGCAAGTAGTGTTAACGGCTTCGGCCCAAAAGTATTTAGGTAAACTATTTTTATTTAGTATAGTCCGAACCATTCTTTTGCAATGTGTGATTCTTCTTTTTACTACACCATTTTGTTGAGGAGTTTTAGGAGTCGAAAAATTAATATTATCAAATTCTCTTTTATTGTGAACCTTTTTACATTAATGTTCAAATGCATTCAATACTTCATTTTTAG